CCACCTGCATGTCTCAAAAGGCACCTCGACATTATGCCATCGTGATTGCATGGATAGTTACGCCCAGCGCCCCATCACTGGCTATGCTGAACAGCTTACTCATCAGCAACCAATAGCCGGCGGATGAAGCTTCCGGCCAAATGGCCATTTGCGAACTCTACACTGTGCTCCTTTGCCCTGTTCATACTGGTCAGCTATTATTTTATGCAACAAAGCTTGACAAGAAGTCTCCATTTACCTCTCTCCAGATTTTGTACTTAAACGAATGAAGTCCCACCTTCTAGGCCCCACTCATCAACCTGTACACACTGCCTTGTATTGTTGAAATTTGAAGTTTGCAGCAAACTTTGAGCCTCCGCTCACGCCTGCCGCTCTGCGCCAGGAACTGTCAAGCTGAGTTGTAAGAGTCGGATACATTTGTAGAATATGAAACGGTTCATCCTTGGACGTAAACGATCAATGTCCACAGGCTGTATGTATCAGTTGTATGGGCAGAAACAACGCAGCCAAAGAGGATGAAGTTTGGTGTTTGATTGCCACCCAAATTATGCCTATATTTACGGACGTATTTCAGAACACTGGAATAAATCTCTTTATGCCACTACACATTTAATCCCACCACCTTGCCATGTGAATTACGAACAGGTAGTTTGTGGCTCAACAGTACCGTGCGGACGACTGCCCTCTGGTGCGCCTTGATACAGGCCAATGTCAGTAGGTTTAACTCTACACTGAAGGCAACATTCAAAATCGGGATTTTGCCCCGGTTCGAAACTTTCGCTGTACAACGGAACCACTCTACCATCTGCGTCCAAGCCAACTTCCAAAATGAAATCAGCGCGTATCAAATGGTGTTTTGGAAATATACCATCTAGTTATCAGTTTGTTATGTCAGGTGTAATTAGTTCGTTCTGACTGGCTGCCCGGCGTACAAGCTAATCTAACTTCGGTAGAGGGATCTCCGGCAGGAGGGTTCATAACGCCAACGTACAGTACGTGACCGATCTCATGAAATGCTGGCCGAAATTCTGAAATGTGTTTTCGATTAGGAAGGATTGCTTAGATGGGGTCGTAATATTGATTAGCATGCAGCATAATCCTAGAGCATTTCGGACTCACCAGGATGTCGGCTTTTGGATGCACTCCTTTCTGACCTTATGCAGAAACGGCAATCTGCAAAAAATGGCTACTTAAGTAGCATGCATTTTTCGTATTGATTTTCGATGGTCTTGCAAATTCAGATATATT